AATTACAAGACTTCTATCACTAAATCATTATTTATTGATAATTCTTACCATCTAAATACATTTTCTGGCTTTAAATAACCCGGAAATATTTGATAAACCGTAAAAAACGAATCAGTGAATGAAGCCGAATGGACTGTCGTGATAAGTAAGCAAATAATAATAATGAAGAAGAAGAAGAAGAAGAAAGCAAAATATAATCTACCAAATGAAAATACGATGGCAAGATAAGTCTCTTCATGGTAAATCATCTTCCTGTACCAAACAAGATGATGTAGACAAACCTTGCAGTGCAGGGTTAATAGATGAAACCGATGGTTTTATTCTTGTTGCACAGAAGATTTGCCAATGAAGGCTAAAAAACCAAGTCTGTCCCTCTAATTAACCTATAGCTGGGGAATACTTATAGCTCAAACCTTTCTCTTTGCGTAGAAATTAGTGAATGTTATGAACTATACTGGAGTTTGAATTCTGTTATCCGATTACTCGTCTCCAACCACGTTCCATTACACCAGGCTCTCCAAAATATATGCGTCGCAAAAAAAAAAAAAAAAAAAAAATACCAATAAGTACGTTTCACATCTTGATCTCGATGTTGTGACCAAATTTACATATAATTTTTTCGCTATCTGATTGCATAGAACCATTGACTTTTTCAACTTCTGATTCAAAAATCTTTTTGTTGTAACCAAGGGAAGTGTACAGAATAGAATAATCACACGAAGGTTGGTAATGAACAATAATACTTAAGTCAAGAACAACACATATAAGATTCGCCAGCGGCGCGTAGAAAGAGTAGTCAACTGCTAGTTATGTGTCAAGTGAATTCCACAATGAATCTCCAACTCTAGGATAGCTACCAAAACACCCGACATGGTCAGATATGGCACAAGGCCGAATTTAATGTGGGTGTCCGAGCCTGTAGGCTCGGCCCAAAATTTCCCGTTGAACCCATATAAAACGGGGTCAGGTAGCTGTTTCCCGAGACGAGACTCTACACATCGACAAAGCCTCGTCTGGGAATCCTCTCTGCTCAGAGGCAGAGAATTTGACCAGCGCGGCTGGAGACAAATCTCCAACTGCAGGATATCTACCAACCGCCCTACGCGGTCAAATGTGGCACAAGCCCGAATTTAATGTTGGGTGTCCGAGCCCGTAGGATCGGCCCTGAGATTGCCTGTAGACCTCGTATAAAACGGGTCGCGTAGCTTTCCCAAGACGAGACTCTGCCCTTCGACATAGTCTCGTCTGTGGATCCTCTCCGCACAGAAGCAGAGTGTTTGACCAACATAGCTGGAGATGAATCTCCAACTGCAGACCAACATACAGTATTTACTACTGTATTTATGTGAATTATCAGTTATGAGTTTGAGGTTTTGTTGTAAAAAGGTCTCCAGAGAGGACGCTTCCTTGATTCTTACAATCTTAACCATTTTAAGTCTAGTGTAAAGTATTATCTATCCTAATAATCTATAATCCTTATGTCTATAAAATAGCGTCATTTCACGCTCCTCAAAACCCCCTGATCAGAATCCTTGATTTCCGATGTAGTTTATCGTCTTACTCAGGACTCTCGATCTTGAATGGGTGATGAGCCTTGTATTTGATAAGAAATAGCGCAAAAGTCATAATAGTATATATACAAAAAGCTCATCTTTTTAATATAAGTGGCTTTATCACTTTGCCTAGTGTGAAATGATTAAAAACAAAATAGATTGTATTTCTTGTTGAGATAGGATTATTTGGCGGCGTTCGTCTCTCCTTTAAGCAAAACAGGATTGATTGTGCCATCTAAAATGGTAAGCAAATAAGTTAAGAAAGTAGTCCCGAAGTAAGCCATTAGGAATTCTTTATTCCAAGAATATCAGAGCAAATTGAACAACCTCAGCCAGGATTCGAACTCTGTGATAAAACCTCAAACATGAAGAAGCAGTTTTGAAAGAATAAAAACAAAAATGAGAACGGTATAAGTTTGAGTCGTAAATCATTTTCGTTCTGCCTTTATCGACTTCAAAAAATAAAGAATAATTACATTTTATTCAATTATATATTCACCATTATTTTCTATTATATGTCGATGTTTATCAGGCAGCTCTTCGATGCTTTTTGAGTAAAATTCGGCAGGTTTTGGTCTTTCTGCCAATTCTTGAATTTGATATATGATTAGTAAATCTGACAATTAGTTTCCCCACTACAAAAAGGGAATTATGACTGAAAGTGATAAAAACTAGTTTACCAAGTTCTTCTGACCTTATTATTATTGTTATTGTTATTATTATTATTATTATTAGATGTTCACGTGTGAGGTTTGAATAAATATGCATAGCACCCGTCAAAAATGACATTAATTATTGATCCTCGCTTCTACCTCGGGCCATTGTTGTATCTGTGTGATTTGCCTTAGTCTAGTATCAGTACGCCTTGCTTTAATATTTGCCAATTAATTTTTGTCCGCTGCTCAAGATCATGAACGCTGCACTAGTGGATATATCCCGCGTCAGCTTACCTAGATGGTAAAACCTTTACCTGCAACTGAACAGATGGTAAAATCTTTACATGTAACGGAACAAATGGTAAAACCTTTATCTGTAATTGAATAGACGGTAAAACATTTACCTGAAATGAACAGACGGTAAAACCTTTACCTTCAGCTGAATAGATGATAAAACCTTTACTTGAGACTGAACAGATGGTAAAACATTTACCTTCAGCTGAATAGATGATAAAACCTTTAATACAAACTGAATAGATGGTAAAATATTTCTCTGTAACTGAACAGATGATAAAACCATTACATGTAACTGAACAAATGGTAAAACCGTTAACTGTAACTGAATAGACGGTAAAACATTTACCTGAAATGAACAGACGATAAAACCTTCACCTTCAACTGAATAGATGATAAAACCTTTACTATAAACTGAATTGGTAAAATATTTACCTGCAACTGAACAGATGGTAAAACTATTACCTGTAACTGAAGGCATATACAAAGTTTGTTTTTGAGAAGACGTTGCCAACATTTAAGGTTGGCAGTCGGATAAGGCATTGCTTTCTACAACTTTTCAATAGTTTTACCATCGGCATTAGATCTTTTGCGTATCGTGTTGGCGGCGTAGACGTGACGATGTATGTATGGTATTTCACTGGGACAAAATCCATCTATCCGTATATCCGTACTTAAATGCATATAAAATCTCCGTTCCCAAACTGAAGATCATTTTTGTTCACTACAGAATGGCATTAATAATCATAAGATTATGAAACAGAAAACTAAATTAAATCGGCTTCAATTCAGAAACTGGGAATTCAAAATGCTTTTAAGAAGAAATTGGTCGAAGCATTCATGTGTATTTCCACTTGTGTGCCGCTTTGTGGCACATACACACACTCAAAACACACACACGCACAAAACACACCCACACAAACAAAAACACTTACAAACCCACACGTCAAAAGCTACAAGGCCGAGTTTTAAAATATTTAAAAATTGCGAAAGAAATAAAATCTACAATTTTCCTATAACTCTGATGATGGCCATAAGTGTAGTCGAAGCTCATCACAGACGTTTCTACAATGCCTATGTTTACAGAACCGAGAAATGTCTTTCCTCGTTTTTAATCAAATCAATATTAAGAAACATTACTGCTTTAAAATATATACACACTTCTCTCTCTCTCACACTCACATTCACTCACACACACACACACACACACACACACACACACATATATATATATATATATATATATATATGGTGGAAATATAGTTATTCAATTATCATGTGCAAAAGTGCTCCATATCAGGGATAAGGATAAGGCGTATGTAAATATAAAAGTTTACTTTTTTTATATATATATATATATATATATATATATATATATATATGTGTGTGTGTGTGTGTGTGTGTGTGTGTGTGTGTGTGTGTGTGTGTATATGTGTTATATAAAAAGAAAAGAACAGGGTTCTTATTGATATTTTATTTTTACAAAAAATGCTCAATGTCAATTTACAGAGCATAAATATTAAAAATTAACTGATTTAAAATATGGTTTCTTCGCTACACAGGAATTACCATGTTTCAAAAACCGTCCAAAATTCGCTTGAAGATGAAATGGAACTAATGCTTTTAATTTAATTATATAATTAAATTTGAAGTTTTTAGCTTCGGTTTTCAGTGTCATGACTGCTTATATGAAATACAATGATCAAAAGGAACTGGCATTTAAAAAAAATATTACATTAAAATAATATTACTAAAAAAAGATTTTTTTTACTTATTTTTTATCTATCTGGAATTTAACCAATAATTTTTTTTTTAATGTCTGATATTCATTCCCAGAAAAAAAATGCTTCAGATATTTTAAAATCAAGTTAACCGAAAATCAACTCATGCATTTATTCGTAATCGATTCATCAAGGCAAAAGAATGCCGAGCTGTTACGCGACATATGTCCTTCATTACGGCAGCGAATGTTGGACGGTCTCCTTAAAGATGGAGAAGAGACTCGAGGCGACAGAGATTAGGTTCTACAGAAGGATGCTGAGGATATCATGGACCGAGCGAGTGAGCAACGACGAGGTCTTAGAGTGGTTACAAACAAGGAGAAGGTTTATACTTAACATCAGGAGGAGGTGGCTGAAGTTTCTAGGACACATAACGAGGATGGAGGACCTGGCAAATCTGATACTCACGGGTCGAATAGATGGAAAGAGAGACAAGAGAAAGCAGCGCGTGACATACATGACGAGTTTGAGCAGGTGGATGAGAGAACGTGGTCTGGGGGGAAGGAACAGAGGGAAGGAACTTGTTGAGAGCTGCAAGGGATAGAGGGAGAAGTGGAGAGCCATGATCGCCTACGTCCTGAAAGAACATGGCACATAAAAAGAAGATTTAGTTTCTATTAGGTTGGTGCAAAAATAATGACGTAATAATGTCGTTTTTTTACGTTAAAAAATACGTCAAAAAACGACATTATTACGTCATTATTTTTGCACCAACCTCATAACAATATTGCTAGCAGTTGGGGAATTGCGATGAGAGGTAATGAAAAGCAAGATGAGGCAAATACGAGAGGAAAGATTAAATGTGATTCTCTATAGAATATTGCCGATCTCATTAAACTAATCAATCTATGCAAGTCATAAGGTTTGTAATTAGGAGGGAGATGAATTATGTATTAGACACATCATCATGTGATTCTAATGATTGTGGCTTTCATTCACATATTGCGGTGATTATATTTTAATGATATAAGGATATAGAGAAATAGAATATCCAAACTGAGGTAATCTGCTAGAGATTTTATCAATTATCTGGACGTATATATATATATATATATATATATATATATATATATATATATATATATATAAGTGAGAGAGAGTGAGATAGATAGATATGATCAGACATAGATAGATAGATAGATAGATAGATAGATATGATCGGATATAGATAGATATGATCGGATATAGATAGATAGATAGATAGATAGATAGATATGATCGGATATATAGATATGATCGGATATAGATAGATAGATAGATAGATAGATATGATCGGATATAGACAGATAGATAGATATGATCGGAGATAGATAGATAGATATGATCGGATATAGACAGATAGATAGATATGATCGGAGATAGATAGATAGATAGGATCGGACATAGATAGATAGATAGATAGATAGATAGATAGATAGATAGATAGATAGATATGATCGGACATAGAAAGAGAGGAAGATGTGAACAAACCGAAATAGATAGATAGATAGATAGATAGATAGATAGATAGAAAAGATAGATATAAACGGACCGATTTATATATATATATATATATATATATATATATGAACGGACCGAAATAGATAGGTAGATAAAAAAAAATGACGAAGAGAAATTGCTTTTTATATGCAATCATATTTGAACATAAGTAGGATCCTTTTTGGCGCCCAAACTAATCGCTTTGTGAAGTTCCGATGCATATATATATATATATATATATATATATATATATATATATATATATATATATATATATATATATAGGCATCTTTGGGCTTTGGACTCGTATGCTGGACGATTATTTTCGGCTAACGTACATGTTCTTACTTCTTTCTATTTTTATACTTTTTTTTTTCTCTTTGGTATTGGTTTGTGTATTTGCAAATCAAAACACCGGAGGTTTTCCGAGCGAGTATAGTTTCTTATACTTATAAGAGTTCTATTAATTATATATATATATATATATATATATATATATATATATATATATATATATATATATATATATTGTACTAATTCGAACATAAATATGTCCATTAACGTCATTTCCGATTTTGCTAATACCACTTATTTCATTGGAAAAAGAAACAGATTTGAAATTGTAATTTATCCAATGATATTGCATCTGGTTTTATCATCATTCAGAGAAACTACACTCATCCGATCCTGATTCGCAAAGTCATCGTTATTTTTAAGTGGATACTCTTATTTGAATAGACGTTTAATTATTAAACCCTTTATTTATTTATTTATCATCTGCCGATATATTCGAGAAATCTTATCAGTGAAACATTTACGCCTTCCGGCATGATTCGAACCTACTTTCCCCTAGGCGAAACCGTTATCCATCTGACGTGCTTTGACCTCTCGGCTACAGAGAGCCTCAAGTACCAAGCAAAGTTGAATAGTGACTTTGCTTGATGATCGATGCCTTTTAAATTTTGTTTTTCTAATAAGATTCCTCGAATGTTCAGGCCGGTAGACGAATATAAATATACTGTTTAATAAATAAACGGGGCGTCTACTCAAATAGGAGTATCCACTAAAAATAACATTTAAAGCGATAAAAATCAAACCTCTTTCTTTACAAATAAATACACACGCACACACACAAACACACACATATATGTGTCTGTGTGTGTGTGATACAACGTTTCTTAAAGCTTGCTATGGTAGAATCTAAATGATGTCATTTAAATTTAAGTATTAATAATATTTCAGAGCGTTCTTAAAGACGAAATTTGAAAAGTTAACGATATTTTTCTTCACGTTACTGCTGTGACTATGTACAAGTTATGAAAGAAAATTTCCACTTTTACCTTGATAAAGTTCCTCGAGGATGAAACCCCGTTGGTAACGATAAGGGTTTTCCAATTATATATATATATATATATATATATATATATATATATATATATATATATTTATTTTAATGACTATGAGAATTAGACAAAAGTGCTCAGATAGAGAGATCATTCTTACGCACTCTATATCCTTCAATGTAACCTGTATAATAAAAAGAGACTAGTTCTGCCCAAATACACAATGATATATATATATATATATATATATATATATATATATATATATATATATATATATATATATATATATATATATTTCATCAGACCTACAAATTCTAAAAGAAATCGGAAAATATAACCTGGGTGTAAAAACAAAAATTTTAGTGAGAGTGTATGTGTGAGAGTGGGAAACAAGTGTGAGAGGGAAATGTATGAAAGCTCTAGAGGGGGGGGTGTAACAGAAGAATGAAGAACAGGAAGGCCTAAGCATGAAGTGTAGATTAGAATTTAACAGAGAGAAGTTTTAAAGCGTGGAGTTAAATAACGGTTTAAATGAGTGAGATAGTGATAAATATGAATTATTTTCATATTATATATATATATATATATATATATATATATATATATATATTGACCACTGATATTTTCAATATCTATACACACACACACACACACACATATATATATATATATATGTATGTATGTATGTATGTATGTATAATTATCAACAAACTGCATTAAATTCTTATACTAACCACACATGTACTACACTTTCTTGTAGGTTAACTTGTCATTTGTCAAAATTTAGTGCAATTCGCTTACATATAGTTAAATATATGCTAAATAAGCAAAGATAGACTACAAATTTAAGAAAATATAGTGATAAAAGAGAATAACGCGTCTTTCTTTACAGGGGACCGTATATTGAAGTGTGTTTAATGAAAACACACACACAAAAAAATTCGGTTTGACGGTTGATATGACGTCACTTTTATTGACTTGAAATCGGTTCCATAACACGCGTGGACAGCGGAATTTAAAAAAAAAGCACTTGAGTAAATACACACCGAATACTTTAAAATTAATACACAGAAGTATACATGAAAACGAATGGAGCAACATTCGAAAGTGATTACCGAAAAATAATATGTGAATAAAAGTTTCTATGAATTTTAACAAATTTATTGATAACACAAAAAATTTATTTTGAAATTAGAAAAATTTATTAAAAAATTAAGAGACAACACTTTTCCAAATTATTTAACATAATATGTTTGATATATATATATATATATATATATATATATATATATATATATATATATATATATATATATATATATATATATATAAAGTAACAGGTTATTGTTGTTCCAACGAGGGAAAAGTTTATATTTCAAAGAAAAGTGAGAAACCGCAAACGTTTTTGGTTACAGTGTGAATGTTTTTAAATATATATCATACTTTATTTTTCATATTTTAGCAACACGTGTTTCCGGTCTCGCGACGTTCATCAGGCAAAGAGTGGTTATTTCCACATATTATTAAAAGGAATTAATATCTTTTATATTTTCCTTGTGTGTAGTAGTACTTGTAGTACTCCTACACATAAAAGACATTGGTTCAACATCGAAAAAGAAAAGAAAATTAATTCCTTTTAAAAATATTATGTGGGAAATGACCACTCTTTGCCTGATGAATGTCGTGTGTCCGCAAAAACATGTAGCAAAAATATGGCAATGAAGTATAATGTATATTTTAAAAAAATACACGCTATAAGCAAAAACGTTTGCCGTTTCTCTCTTTTTTCTTTAATATATATATATATATATATATATATATATAAATATAATCAGTGTCGATATTATATGAGTTGTGTAAAAATATCTCCGATTTTATGATGTAAAAATATCAATTATAAAGCATAAGAAACAGAGAGAGAAAGGTTAAGATATACATTGTTTTTTTTTCTGTAGTTCATATTTTAAGAGTATATATATATATATATATATATATATATATATATATATATATATGTGCATGATGATTTTAATGCTAACGAAGCTGTGTCAAGTGTCAATATATCCCCTGACGGGCCCATATGAATACTAAGACCTACTAAGCAACAATTGAACGTTTGTCGATCTTTCTACAACATAGATATTGAGTGAGCGATGTTTATAGAGACGTTGTCAGGAGAAACAATTTATCATTTAATTAAAAAGAAATGAAATGCACACTTTTTCTTTAAAAAGGCAAAAATTTATTAAAAAAAAAAAAATGAACCATTGGAAAGAAAGAAAAAATATTAACATTATAAAATCATGAATGACCAAATGAAATTTTTCAAGAATTGAAATTTTTTCGGTGAAGAATTTTGAAAAAAAAAAAAGAAAAATATTTAAATATATGAATATATTTAATTTGGAAATTAATGTTTTTTTTTTTTTTTTTTTTGGGAAAATTTTCGAAACAAAATTATTTTTAAATAAAATACGATCATAAATAATCTTTCTAAAACTCTATTTTATTTTTTTACAAACGCTTTGAAAAAAATGTTCACATATAACTGGTAAAACCAATTTTGATTCTAAAGAAATAAGTCTTTTAAACCTATTTTACTAATCAGGATTAGGAAGTCCATAGAAAAATAAATTAATTCTGGAAGAAAAATAATTATCATTTGTAACACCACAAACTCAAAATAAAAACATTTTCTATAACAATTCTCTAATAACTCTTTTATTTCAAATAATTTAAATCAAATTAAATAAGAAATCCCAAATAATAGAAAATTATTTAAAATGAAGTTTTTTTTTTTTTAAAAAAAGAAAACCATTAACTCTTTTTTTTTTTCTTTTTAAATTAAACTTCAAATGTGATAAGTTTTACACTCATTTTTTTTTTCCTTTTGAGTTCGCAGCATTTCGATTGATCTTTTTTCCGATCATGTTCAGGTGAAGGACAAGGAAGAAAGTTTAAATAATCAAAGAAGGGCCGTTAAACTCATTCTTGTGTTTAGCGGTCTGATTTAACTTTTCAGGCAATTTGACTCACTAAGTCAAATAAGCGGGCCAAATTTTCCTGCCGGAATTTCTATCATAACAGAGGTGAGGAGATTTTGTTTGATTTTTAACTGAATATTTCAATTTTTTTTTTCTTTATTATAAAGATATGTTTTCAGTAAAATAACCTTAGTGTGTCACCTGACGAAGGTTGGAAAACATAACGACTCTTTTTGGAATGCTGTAAACTCAGAAAAGAAAAAAAAAAAAGAAAACGTTTTATTAAGCTGTCAGTGATTTTCTTTTTCGAAGACCTTTTGATTAAACACCATCATACTGAAAGCTCGGGGTTTCTATTCGAACTTGAAGGAATTTTCTTTTCTTTTCTTTTTTTTAACAATATCGATGTGAAAAGCAATAAATTAATAAACTAAATAAGATAACAAGAAAAATAATTCTTAAATGTTATATTAAAACAACTATAAACCATTTAAAAGGAGAAAAAAAACGAACGATTACTTTCATACCACCATTACAAATATACAAACACAGAACAAACTCGAGACAAAAACATTACCAAATTCATTTAACAGTAAGATGGCCAACTCAATCAAGTCTTTTTAAAGGACACCAACGTAAATAGTAATTTTAATTTGATTTCTATAGCTAAAGAATATAATTGAAAAAGAAAGCTTTCTTTTTAATTTCCAAATTCCACAAAGATTAAGGACATAAACAGTTAAATGAAACACTGTCCTTTCCAATAAAGAATTGTTTAGAAATCTATGAGTCGTCTCGTGCCAACTGCGAGTCATTTCGTGCCGACT